GTCATGATCTCAGGGTCCCAGGATTAAACCCCCTGTTGGGCTCTGCAGTCAGCACAGAGTCTGCTTGTCCCTTTCCCTCCCCTTCAGCTCCTCCCTCCACTCGCACACACGCATGCGCGCGTGCTCTTGCTCTCTCCCTCAAATAAATAAAGAAAATCTTTGGAAAAAAAGAAGAAAGGAACAACCAACCTTCGCTGAGTCAACTAAGGTTTATTGAATGCCTACTATGTGCCTGGGGATGCTTCAAGGAATTACAAAGAAGATATATGCCCTGGTGGAACTTACATTCAACTGGGAGGAGTTAGACAATGGACAAAATAAACAAACAAATAGTAGAGTGTGAAAGAAGTTGATAAATGTTATGGAAGAAAGGACCAGGGAAAGCATGTCAGGAGTTCTGGTCAGGGAAGTGCAGTTGAAATGGGATAATCAGGGTAGGCCTCATTGAAAAAGAAATATTTGAGCAAAGACTTGAAGGAAGTGAGACATGAGACATGCGGATATCTGAAGGAAGAGTTTTCCAGTTAGAACAGCCATCACAGAGGCTCTGAGGCAAATGCATGCTTGAAATGTTTGAGGAATAGTAAGAAACCACTGTGTGTGGAGCTGAATGAGTGAAGGAGAGAATAGGGTGGGATAAGATAAGAAGGTAAGAGGGTTGTCCACACAGTGGAAGGCCCTGGAAGTCATTAGAAGGATCTTGTCTCTAAGAGGAATGTGGAGCCATTAGAAAGTGTTGATTTATGTTGAATGACATGTCAAGATTATAGTTAGGCATGCAAGAAGGTAGAAATAAGAAGATCAGTCAAGAGGCTATTGCAACAATCTAAGCAAGAGATGAAGATGACTTGGATCCAATTGGTAGCAATGAAGGTAGTGAGAAGTGATCAGATTATATATACATACACACATTCACACACGTACACACACATATGCTCAGTCACAATCATGTAGTTTCTTTTTTTTAGAGAGAGAGAGAGGAAGAGAGAGAGCAGGGGGAGGAGCAGAGGCAGAAAGACAGAATCTTAAGCAGGCTCCACTGCCAGTGGGGAGCTGGACCTGGGGCTCGACCTCATGACTTCATGACCCTGAGATCATGACCTGAGCCAAAATCAAGAGTCAGATGCTTAACCGACTGAGCCATCCAGGCACCCCCATGTAGTTTCTTTTTAATCAGCTTCATTGAAGTATAATTTAGACACAATAAAATTGCATGATTTTAATTGCACAATTCAATTATGGGTCAACCATGTCTTAGATGGATGCTATAATGTCTCCTGCTAAAATAAGTTTAAATAGCTGGGTTTTCCCCAAGAGTACTGTCCTAAGGTTTTAAGAATATTACACAAAGTCTTTGGCAATATAAGAAGGGACTTGGTAATTTTTAAAAAACTGGTTATTTCAGCCAAAGATGGATGAGGGCTTGAAATACAAATGTCAGGCGTGAGTTTGTTTTGCACAGCACAAGACTTCAGCAATACAGAGAGCATAACTTGTTGCTATACCCAGATGCAAGCCACTGGTGTTAGTGAGCAAAGATTTCTTGCTTTAGGATACAGATGTGAGAAAAATTGGGATGCACGGTCACACTGTCTGCATACTTCACCAACTAGAACTTGCTCAAGCCTGTCTTCCACAGGACCAGCAGGTCTCCAACAATGGTTACGGTGTTATGGAAGAAACATTTCTCTGCATTTGGACTGCCAACCAAAATTCATTCCGAGTAGCGGTTACTTTTGAAGGTGTTCTGGTTGGCCAGAATTTTTTTTAAGGCTAATAATAGTAGCTACTATTTATTGAGTACCTGCTCTATGACCAAATAAGCATTTTGATAAGTTAACTTTTTTATTCTTCACCAGTGTGTGATGTATTTTTTGTCCTCTTTTTAAAAAAGATTTATTTATTTATTTGAGAGATAGAGAGTGGGGAGGGGAAGGGTGGAGAGAGAATCCCAAACAGACTCCCCACTGAGTGCAGAACCGAAGAGGGGCTCAATCCCATGACACTGAGATCATGACCTGAGCCAAAATCAAGAGTCGGATGCCTAATTGACTTAGCCTCCCAAGCGCCGCTATTTTTGTCCTCTTTTTATAATTGAACTTAATGCTTAGAGAGAAGTGAAATGTAGTTCTGGCTCTGAAACCTAAACTCTTAATCCCATATGAGCCTAAGGGGGATCCATCATTTAAGAGATTCAAGTAAATTGATAGCACATGATTGAGTTTTGCTGAGGCAAGAGCAAAAGAGGTGGTGGGAGCCAAGATGGAGCGTTTTGGGTACAGGGCTATGATTCTGCTAGGAATGATGATTTTACTCTCATTATTTTATTTTTGGTGGGAAAACCCGCTGTCCAGAGACTTCTTCTATGGGGGGGAGGAAGTAGGAGGTCTGAAGATTTAGAAAGCTGATATAATATGTAGCTAGCTTGCAATGGAAACCATTAGAAACACACAGCTTGGTCCCCCCACCCCAAGTCATTTTGCAGCAAACTTGAATGGAACCAGCACCAATGCAACGTTAGAGGGTGATGACAGGAGCTGCATGAAGGGGTGCTGAGTGATGTTGAGGAATGGGGGCGGCGCTGGTGAGCCCCAAACGATTGCCCTATCTATGGACAGGGAGAAAAATGGGGTAAACCTATCATAGTGGGCCGCAGTGTATACTCCAGCCAATAGGTAATTAAAGGGAAAGCCACTGTCCATACACTGGCAGGCAAAGTAAATACCCTTAGAGGCTAAAGAGCCAAACTTGTACTTGACCTGGCTCCTGCAGCTGGCCCAGGTGTAACCAAGCACCATGAGGTTGACGAGGTACCAACCAGGTACCATGGTTGATGAGGGACCACATGATTGGAAACTGTTCATCACAACGTGGTGGTGGGGGCGGGGCAGAAGCGATGCCAAAATGGTGACGGAAAAGTTGGTGGTAAACCTGAGGATCTGAGGAAGTGCAGAAAACTGAAATGGGTCCATGGCATCTTAACAAATCATTAAGCCTGTGACCATGTGCCGAGGCTCACCTTTACCATCAGGAGAACAATGATTCCTGGAAGGTCACAGAGAGTGCAGAGGCCCATCACAACGACATTGTGCCCCGCATAGTATAGATATTAGTGCAGATGACATCAAGGCTTGGGCTCCTTTAATAACTATAAAGTGCTATCATTGAGATGCCATTTGATGAAGGGCCTAGGGTAGGTGTTAATAACCCTCAAACCTATCCAGATAATGAGTTAGGAAAGATCACAGGAGTGTATCATGGAGCTAAATTAAAAGGGTTTCATTGGTCCTGGAATTGATGTCTTTGCTACTCCTATGAACACTAAATAAAGGGGAATGTTCTAGATTACAGATATTTATCCTGGAACTGTAGGCTAACTGATATTGATCCACATGCCTGTGTCATTGGTAAACACATCAGTCTAAGTGGAATCCATATAACTCTGCCACTGGAGAGGCATTTTCCATGGAATTGAAAAATTCATGAGTGTAGCTTCTTGCATGAACCTCTTGAGCCTGTCTTCCAATGTGGAGGACCAAACCTTTTACCGTTCAGGATTTGGCAATATGGGCCCGCACACTATGCTGTATTTATATCATTTTGATGTTCGATGGGTTGGTGTCGGTAAGAGTGATGGTAACATATGGGAGCCAGATAGTATTTATCCAAGAGAGTTAGAAGACTCTAAATTACAAATGAACAAGATTGGACAAGATTGTCTTTTCTGCAGTCAGGTCCTATGAAAGAAATATTATGACACATGCACTTCTGCTTCAGGTAAAAAAAAAAAAAAAAAAGTTTACCAAACCCAGCACACCCACTATCAGAAAAGAATCATTGCTGAAGGCAGTAATGGACCAGTAACACTGGGGATAAAAATCTTCCCGAAGGGGAATAGTTCGGTAATCCCTGCTCTCTACTTGAATGCTAGGGGAGTAACTATCATTTTAAGTGACTAAAAGGTTTTTTGAATTATGTCACACAACCACTTAAATATGAACGGGATTTTCACTACCATTTGCTAATGCCTGCTCAAAAAGTTTAGAAAGAAAATGTGGAAATCACAGTGGGGCTAATCATTTGCACCCTTTTGCAGGGTTTCAGGACACAATGTCAAGAGCCTTATCCTGTAGTATAGATGGTAAGAACATGACATTACCCTCCTGTATGTTAAAGCACAGCAATTCAGTTTTACCTCTGTAAAAGTAAAAGTTGTTTCTTGTTAAAAATTTTATTCTCAGGTGACACTGTAGGCTGATGAGCCAACCGACGCCCATGGGGAAGAACTCCTAAGCAATGACAGTTGAGTTCCCTGCTTCCCCAGTGAGACCTCAGAAGCGCCTGGAAAGAGAGTGGGCAGTCCTACTACCCAAAGTGGAATTAAATTAGGGAGGAACTTCTTGATACCAAGGTGATTGGTAGTTGGTGGTGGAAGTGGGTTAGGGTACCATATCCAGCCTGCGTCCTATCTCCTTGCCATGACCTCTGAAATGTCATGATGGAGGTATCACGTAGTCTGTTGCTTTTCTCACTGGAAATTGTATCAAGATCATTGAAGAGCCACATGCAGTTGTAAGAACTAATATAGAGAGATCCTGTGCACCCTTTACCCATCTCCCCCCTGCCCAATGGTAACAGAGTCTGTTACTTCTTGCTTTGTGGGAATGTATATCCTTTGGAAATAAGACCAGAGTACTCTAATTAAAACATTAAAGTGCACATATAATGGAGCCAAACTGTCAATTTCCTTTTCACTCCAAGGTGGGCCACTTGGGAGAACATGGAGAACTTACAAGTGAGATTCCAAGTAAAAACCATGACTCTGAGCTATTCCATGGGACACTCGATGGAGCCCCTGGGTCTGAGTTACTTAGTGGCAGAATCTGCAGGACATTTCCTGCATGGCTCACGAAGGCAGGGCATTTCCCCGTGAGCTAGGTAAAATGACCAATGCCAAGGGGGGGGCCAGGAAGGTGACAGAAGAGAGAAGCACCAGCTCGTTGATGTTTGTCATTTTTATTTGCAATACTTTAGGTCCAAGTTTCAAACTGCAATATTTTTACACTCAAGACACAGTCATGCACAATCCATATTTCAATTTTCTATTGCTTCAACCACAATTTAAAATAACAATATTGGAAACAAAAGTCCTTAAAAAAAATCAGAAGCTGAGGTCAGAAGGATAGAACCACACCATCAGCAGGTCTACGAAAGAAATAACTTACTGAAAAAAATCAAACAAACAAAAAGACCATAAATACCTTTAATCCAAAGTTACAGAAGAATTTCACTACACATGGGTTTACAGGTAACACATTTGAACAAAAGTAATGCACAACCAAATGAGATACAATTCTGATAAAAAATGAAAATATAGATCCTCCTCAACTTGTTTTGTCTGGATATCATGAGTATAATCCCATCAGCCACCTGTGATCTGAATCCTCCTGGCTGATGTCCTGAGATTTAAAACTCAACCCACGAATGGTTATAGGATTCGGTGAAAGGTCTTATCATCACTAATGACTATAGTAGATGCGGGTCCATAAAGCACGCCACACACAAGCACACACACTGAACTTGAATTTCGCACTCAGGGCTGGTTGGCACCCTGCTAACAGGCAGGGCATTGGGACTAACTGACTTCCGGTGTACCCTCTCTCCAGCAGTATACTCCTACAACTGGCCGATCAACTGTGGGAGTTGTCATCAGAAATGCTATCTTTGGTTCCCAACAAGTGGATTTGTCAACACTCCTCAATGCTAATAGCATGTACTTACTTTGTCATTTCTTTCTCTGCAACCTACAAGTGCTTACGTCCGCTTTTAATAGTCCCAGCCGTTGACATGCATGGTTCTGCCGTCTTGTGCCATTTACAAAGTAAAGTCTACAAAGCCCAGCATCACTTCATAGGAAAGGAGAGGCCCAAACGTAGTTCTGTTCTAGCAAGTGTGACAGTGTATTTCTGTTCTAGTAGCAAATACTGGCCACAGCTTAATGAAAACCAGACTTTACATACAGAGCATATGGGAAATAAAAACTGGGAACACACTACAGGAAAAGGACATTAAAACAACAACAAAACAAAACAACTGTGAGGATTGGGAAGGCTGCCACAAGTTTTATCAACACTCCCTAGTGTTATGTTCATTTACTTGAGGTTTTTTCCCCCCATCATCTTACATATTTCTATTGTTTAATGGCAACATAAGAAACCCAGGCTTAAGCATGCCATATTTGCCATCCATCACTGTAGCAGGCTAGGTCTGCAAGGCAACCTACGGTACCACAGAATGACAGAACTTTTGGAAAGACCTCGGAGGTCATCTAGTCTGATACCCTTATATTACAGATGAAGGAACAGCCGTGAAAAGGTTAAGTGACTTGCCCAAGGCTACACACTAAGTGAGCAACAGAGCCTATATTAGAATCCAGGTCTCCTTACTCCTAGGCTAAGTACTCCTTCCACTACGTCTGTTTGCTTCTTTATAATTGCTGTTGACCCCTTAGGTACTAAACCAGGTGAACACGGTATCTCCCTTACGGCTGGCAGCATTCACCCGATGGCAGCTGCCGAAGGAGACTGATGGCACTAACCAGCTTCTATCAGTTTATCCTGCAAGTTTGACTGTGTTTTGTGGCAGGAAATGCGGCTTGTAATGTTGTATACTTGCACACGGAAGCGTGCGCACGGAGGCGCCAGTTCCATTCCCGCGTTTGCAGATTTGGTGAGATATTGTTTAATATCAAACAGACATTCCCAATGCATGAGGAGTTGGGTGATATTCATTTGGTCACTAAAGGAGCATGGGATCAGGAAAGGAGTGAAACAATCGAAGCTAACCAACAGAAAAGATTATATTGGAACCAAATCTTTTATGAAAAACTCTTTCTTAGGAAAAATATTTCCATTCCTTCCAAGGTACCATTTCTTTCCCTCCCAAGCCACATGCAAATATATGTTCAGAATTGCGTGTTAAGTTCACTTGAAATCCCGGGCCTATTAGACCATCGATTTACAAATGATGAGTTTCAGTCCTCTTGCTCAGAGACTGGGAGAAGCTTTGCATCACTGGCCATGCCTGTGTTTAACTGGGAATATTAACTGCAAGTAGCTCAGAAATGGACCATGAGATTCAACTGGGGATGGTGGGGAGCAGAACTCCCGGAAGTATTTTTATGTTGAGGATGGCCAATGAAAAGTGGGTTCTCCAGGTATAAGGTCTGCTCTTGGGGAAACTGAGCAACATCTGAGACTGCTACCTTATAACAAGGTCACCTACAATTTCTTCAGTGAGTTAGAGAAAAATTCCTCTCTTTTGGTGGACGGTCTCCCTTTTCCTCTTTAAAAATGACAGTAGTTACTGCCTACAACCTATAAATCAGGTGGTACAGAAAGCACACGGAGGCCATCTCCAGCCAAAGCTAACCGGAGCTGAAGACCAACAGGCAAAGGCGGCTCTAAATATTTGTCTTTATGTTTTCACAGTCAGCTTTTAATTGCAAGTCATAACTTCTATTGAGATCAAAGGGACTTGCCCCCTGGTCACTAGCAGGAGAATCCTGCCTGAACGATACAACATCTGGTCAGACAAGGACACGGTGGGAGCCGGGGGATTCATCCTTCTATGCCTCCAAAATTCAACCCGAAAATCTGTTAACAGGAGCCAGAGAGGTGATACCCGAACCAGATGTTTTCAAGGGGGCGAATCAAATGTCACCCCACCCAATCTACGGTAACCAAAACAGAAACCTCTCTGCCATGCCCAAGCACAGGGCGGCCACTTTTAAAGCAGAAGGATGTGCCTGGAGCTCGAATAGCGACGTCTCCCTAGCTTCCACTTAGAGATAACAGTCCCCTAAGAAAGCACGTGCCATACCCGAGCGTGTGCCAACCTCAGCACCCAGGCAAATACGAAGCCTACGGAATAACTGTAACTAGCAAATATCTGTGCCCTGCATGCTCTGGGCTCTGGCCAGACGACATCTGCTGCTGGATCTTCTCTATGTTTCCATAGTCCCCTTTCTGCTGTTTATTTATTATAAAGCAATATGATAACAATACCAAATAAAATTTTAAAAGGAATGAAATTGTTTGTGCATAATCCCACCACCCTAACACAACTGATTTCAACGACCTGTGTTCCCAGTCTTTGTCCGTTATGCACACTTAGTTTTACAAAGCTGTAATCCCTGTTTATGTTATTTGAAAGTGATCTGATAGACTCTCTCTGAGAACTGGCAGCCTCGTTAGAAATAAACAACCCAATGTGCAAGGGAATATAGTTATTTACACGATCTTTGAGCTGAGGAATATCCTTTATAGACAAACATCTCAAACTATCAAAACAGTTATACAGACGACAGGAAGCAATTTCATATTTCTTTTTCTTTTAGCAATGGAATGTGCTTCACAGGGGAGGAATAGATGTGGGGGATCAGGTGGTTAAACTCAACATTGGGGGTGCAATTCACAAGCCTGAAGAAATCTGAGTAACACAATTAAAGAATAAATACTTGAGTTAAATCTTCTTACATGACTTGGCCATCCAGTAGCCAAAACGGAACATGGACACACAAATATTTACAATGACACATAGACGAGATCAGCAAGAACGAAGTCATTACCCAACATGGTGACTGATTTGGGGGGATTGTGTCATCCAAAAAATCTTCATTGGATTATGACAACGCACCGGATCCTCACTACATTAATGTTCTTTTTTTCTTAAATAAATAATCTCTACTGTGCTTCTCACCCTTCCCTGACTTTCCCACTGCCCTATCCCTATCTCCGGACATTTTGGAATCAACATTCCACAAAGTGCCCTCATTATCTCCGGGCGTGCTAGCAACTTTAAAGATCTGGATAGACTCATCCGTGTCAAGATGAGCTTTAAAAAAAAAAAAAAAAAAATCCAGAGAAAGGGAATAAACGATTAACCACCTGGAGTCCAAGTTGTTCAAGTGTACCCAATGTGAATCCTTCAGGATCATCTTGGCAGGAGAAAACAGCTTCTTGCTAATACTTATTAGAAATATACATAACTCTCCAACACAGGGGAGGGGCTTTAGAAGCTGTTCTCGTTGAAAAATTTACATAGATATAAATTTGTAAGAGTAAAGCCTACTGCACTATATTACCACGGAATCTTGGTACAATGGGGGCGTGGCGAAGAAGTACCTGGCTCCTCGGTGTTAATATGCAAAACCGAAAGCATCAAAGAGCAACCATTTCTCTGCCTAGAGTGATACGAAGGATCACTGCTCCAGGTCTCTCCCTGCCCAAAAGGCCTTTCTGACATATAAGGGATGCTAATCAGCAACTAGGACTTCCTGACTAGCCCTGTGGTTCTCTCCACTGGCAGGGCTGAGTTAGTGTACTGAATTCTATTCACACCCCAGGTATTATTTCATTGAATTCCCTGGCACTATGAATGAAACGCTAAAAAAAAAATATTTAACTTTAAATGAAATAAAAATTAAGGCCTCTCTCTCTCTTTCTCTCTCTCATTGGAACAGTGTGGCGTTAAAAATTTCAGGCCGAACCACCTTTTTGTAAAGTAGAACACAGCATGCTTCAAATGAATGTTCCATTTGATTTTCTTTTTCACATCTGTTGTTTTCTCTCACTGTGGGTGTTTTCTGGGGAGGGGGGTGTGAAGCCCCTCCCAACCTTTATAGTCAAAGAAAACAATAGGAAAATAGGAAATCCACCAGCGGCGCCGTTTCCTCAACATAAACACGTGCACTACATGGTTAGCAGAAACTCTCTAAAGAAAGTGCTTGCATTTTAAGGAATGGATGGATGGTTAGATGGACAGATGTACCATAGCAGAGAAGAAGAGAGGCCCAGGCCATTGATCTCTTTCTCCCTCTTGCTGAATGTAGATGGGTTCTTATTCAGATTCTCGGTATGTTACAAATCGAGAAGCCTTCTATTGCACAAACTGTTAGCTTCTCCAAGGCTTAGATAGGCCACTTTGCAGAATTTATGCAACTGACAATACATTTGAAAGAGAAGCATATCCTTTTCTATGCAGCCACCCTCCAGATATTTTTCTGCTCTCAGAAGATTCAGGAAGCACCAACTGTTGAATTTTTAATAAGTAGATACATGGTTGGACTGCTACTTCTTGGGATATATGATTGCAAACCCTAATTATTTTTCACTGGAGAAATTCCAGATCTGTTTGAACATGTTTTTGAAATTCAAAAGCTCAAAAGACGATGTCTGACTATGCTATATCCTGAAACAGAAATCGGTGAGACAGAGGGAAAATGGGAACAAGTACTTAGAGCCAAATGTTGACTGGGATGTAGTTTTCACTGACCTCTCATTCCTGACAGGGCTGAATACTTACAATATCTCTGCTCTCCAGGTCTTTTAAGACATTTTCAAAATGTTATAATGTGTCACATGATTCTGATCATAAGCAAATGTTGGCTAATGGGTCTATTTTCTCCTAATGTGCCTATTTGACAATGTTTGTGTTCCATAAGCACAAGAGAGGATTAAATTAGGTCTCTTGATTTTTGTTTCCTTCTGTCCAACAAAGATCTCAGCATTGCACACTCCTTTTGCTTTCCTTTTGGCTCTCAGAGAAAGTCCCATCTTTGTTTAAGAATGGTTTCTCCTATCGGGGTTTCCCAGGTTGAGGACCTGGACTCACCCAATAGGAGGGCCACAAATTTCAGTGTGTCCTTTGTCAGGCATTGTGAAGATGAACGAGCTGGTTTATAGAAATGATACATCAACTACCTCTTAAGCATCGTCGTGAAAATGTTACAGGATCTCACCATTTGAGCCTTATTTGGATAGACAGTTTTTAAAAGCCCTTCCTGAACACACATATTCCTCTCTGCTTTTGGAAAAATGCCTTAAAAGAAACCTTTTCCAATACAAATGCAGAAAAACAGGTACACAAACCAAGCCACCACTATAGAAGAAGAATAAAAAATTGCAACTCTATGAGGGCATGGACTTCCACATGTTCACACAGTACTTGCTCTGGGGTATTTTTTTTTGTTTTGTTTTGGGGGTTTTTTTTGTGTTTTTTTGTTTTGTTTTGTTTTGTTTTTGCTTTTTGTTTTTTGCTTTCTTTTTAAAAAAAAATTTTTTTTGACGTCTTTTTTTTTTTCCTGGACATCTAATGACAATGCAAGTGAAAAACATCACATTGGGTAAGGAGTTTTGAAGGAGGTTCGAATGCAAGAGGGACTACTCTCTAACTTAAAAACGAACACGACACTATGAAGAGGGAGTGTGCATCTTTGAGAAACCCTTTTTTTCTTCAAAGTGAATGCACAAAATGAGGGGATTCACTACTGGCTCTTTCGCTTCACGGTAGAAGTGACCGCTTGTGGCCACTTGGACGTTGCTGCCCTGCTCGGGCTGCGGTTCAGGCTTACAAATAAATTACATAATCCGAGGGAGTAGGAAAAAGGCTTAGAAGAAGTTTCTATTCATTTGAAAGTTAAAGATCGCCCCCACCCCTATTTGACTGTCTTTTCTTCCATCTTTTCCGCAGCAGCGTCTCAGTTCAGTCTTACTCAGGAGGGAGACGGTGGAGGGTAGGCCTCGCGGTCCTAGCGGCTGCTGTTCTTAATCGCTTCTTTTGCGGCGATAATCAGAGGAGTCAGGCTGGAGAGAGGCTTGGCTAATTTTAAAAATGGATGCTACAAAAGGGGGAAAAAAAAGAGGAATTACTGGAATCCTTTCCTCCAACAAGTGTATTACCTTACATTCTCAAGAAGCAGCCCCTTTTTCACTCAAATAAATGTACCTCTAGCATCCAATTAAACCTGATTTTATTAAAAATAGTGCCAGCTTTCATGTGTCTGTTGGCCATTTGTATGTCTTCTTTGGAGAAGTGTCTGTTCGTGTCTTTACCCCAAAGACACAGATGTAGTGAAAAGAAGGGCCATGTGCACCCCAATGTTCATAGCAGTAATGTCCACAATAGCCAAACTGTGGAAAGAGCCGAGATGCCCTTCAGCAGACAGACGGATAAAGATGTGGTCCATATATACAATGGAGTATTACTCAGCCATCAGAAAGGATGAGTACCCAACTTTTATATCAACATGGATGGGACTGGAGGAGATTATGCTAAGTGAAATAAGTCAAGCAGAGAAAGTCAATTATCATATGGTTTCATTCATATGTGGAACATAAGGAATAGCATGGAGGACATTAGGAGAAGGAAGGGAAAAATGTTTAGGGAGGGAATCAGAGGGGGAGACGAACCATGAGAGACTATGGACTCCTAGAAACAAACTGAGGGTTTTAGAGGGGAGGGGCGTGGGGGGATGGGTTAGCCTGGTGATGGGTATTAAAGAGGGCACGTACTGCATGGAGCACTGGGTGTTATACGAAAACGGATCGTGGATCACCACGTCAAAAACCAATGATATACTGTATGGTGACTAACATAACATAATAAAATAAAATTTAAAAAAAAAATCGTGCCAGCTTTTGGCCTTCCGATGTTCCTATCATTCAGTGTCATGAAATCCTCTGACAGCTGACTGGTAGAGCCAGAAACTCGGAGTAGGGGTCTTGCGAAAATCGCACTAGGTTTGCAACAGTCTCGTTTGCTGATTTTCTCAAACTGATGCATTTATCTGGGGCAGCTCTCCTGCTTGAAAAAGTGTCTTTGGTGGCCCCTGACCCTGAAGCCAATGGCTTCTCAACTGCTAAACCCCGGACGGAGCTGTGCCTCCACCATTTTTCTTTTGGCCCCTCTGCAGTATGTAATACAAATGAACATCCCTTCTTTTTTTGAAATGTTTTCCTTGTTGGGGGCCTGTGACATTCCACAGTCTTGGTTCCCTTCCCCGTGCACGCTCACTGACTCCTCCCCTTCTATCTTCTTCCCCACTTTCCCTTCCTCCTCCCACCTCCCAGAACTCAGCGCTCATCCTGTTCTTTTTCTAACTTAATTCCTCTGAGAGCTCACTTTCTTTCATGGTTTTGACCTCTCATCAGATTAATGGGGATGACTCCCAAATCAATACGGTGTGACCCGATCCCTTTCCTGAAGTCTGGTCCTATCTCTCCAACTGCCTGCTGGGTATCTCCTTCCGAATGTCCCGTCCCCTTGAAATCAACATTTAAAAAGGTATGTTAAAAAGTCTCTCGCACAGCACAGGGTACTCCTGTGTGATGTAAGCTGCAGAGGCTTTGGAATCTGCGCAGCACCTACGTTCAAGTCTCTCTTCTGCTTATTATGATGGTTAGATGAGGTAAGTAAGTGACAGTTCCTTGTAAGCTACACAGAGGCTAAGAAATGTTAGCCATGGTATTATCCTCCGTCATTTTTGCTTTTACTGCATGCTACCATTGGTTTGATATTCTGAAGTCGCTTTTGTCTTCTTCTCCCTTATGTTCTACATGTAATCACCTACCTAGTCCTTTCTTCTCAATGCCCTCCACCGTTATCTCTTGCCTTCCTTAGTTCAGCCCGAATCAACTGAACCCTCAACTGTAGCCGTAAGTCCTCCTTGATCTTCCTGCTGCCATTTTGTCCCATTGCTAATTCTTATTGTATTCCACCAGATTCACCTTCCTATACAAAGCTGTTGCCAGGTGTCCCTCAGATATGTTCAGGGTTTCCCCACTGGCTACAGCCCCCCAGTTCTATAGCCTGGTGTTCAAGGCCCTCTATGGCCGTATCTCTTACAGCCTCCTGACTGGACCTCTTTACTTCAGCTGTCCGCTTTATTTTCTGTTCCCTTCAACCTTGCCTCCTCCATGGCTTGGGTCACACTATAATCCTTCCACCTGAAATCCCTTCCCTTGTTTACCTCAGCCAGTTAAAGCTGCTCTGTCCTTCAAGACTCGGCAGAACTCTTTCCTGTTTGCAGACACTTTCTCATCACCATCACCCATACAGGTATTTCTCTAATCAACCATGGCATTTATTGTTTGAATAGCCACTGGGTTTGAATGAGTCTTTAAAAAACCTTGTGTTGTTTTTTTTCATATACCCAAGGACATTGTGAACTTCTGGAGAGTAGGAACCATGCCTCTAAGATTTGTATCACCCACTGCAGTGAGCCCTGCACATTGAAGTTGCTCAAAAAACATCAGTTGATGCACAGAGACTTGACTTAGGCCATACAGAAAGGCACACAAATACTCAAGGCCCGTGTCTTTTCTCAAGCCTTCTAGGGGGGTGAATGTCATGCATCCCTCTGTTTTCTAGCCCCTGAAATGGGCAGTGACAGGCTGGAGTCGGAGAACAGTGTTCGATGGACTTTGGGTGATACCCAGGTTATTGCTAACATGTAAAATGAAAAGAGGCAACAAACTATTCAATTTAGACTCAAAATATAGTTTTGCATTACTTAGCTGACTGGTTCAGATCCAAGTACTGTCGGGGAAGGAACTGACTAGGTAACTGACTCAATGATCTATGTAACTGTATAGTTACATTAAGAGAACCCATCTCATCACTTCTCCTTGGAACATGGATCAGGATGTGTCTGTGGGTGGTGGGAGGAGTGAAGAGATGTGGGAGCGAGGCACTCTAAAGTTCAGCTTTTTTCATCTGTGATTTGAAGCCGGCTTAAAGAGAGGATCAATGAAGGGCCATTGCAGATTTGAAATTCAAGCCCGTGGGACAGCCTGTGAAATGCTCACAGCAGAAAAGCGAAGGTGTAGCCTCTTTGATTCCTGGAAATCAGTTTATTCCAGGTGTGATTTGGGCCGGGGTGGGATATTTTTGACCCGGGTGTGGCTCTCTGTCTGGAGGGGGTTCGGGAGCAAGAGGAATGATTTTATTTCTTTTTTTGCCTGGAACAGACTGAGTCTGGGGTTAACACACTAGATAACCAAATGTTGCACCTTGTGTTTAACTGGATTAAGTGTTCGAAGTCACAGAGAGAATACGCAGTCACTGTTTTTAGATGTTACAGGCTTGATACATGTCCCCGAGGAAAAGTGCCCAGCACTGGAGTATATCTATGTGTCGTCCTGGGCATGTGTTACTTTATTGATATAAGCATTTTTTTTTTTCCCTCTAAATCGGTTTGTGTGTTTGTTCGGGGGAGGGTCAGAAAATCCAGGGCTCAAATCCCAGTTCTGCTACTCGATGGCTGTATAAGCCTCAATTTCTACATCTGTAACGTGGGATAATCCCACCTACCCTATAGAGTTGTTTTCAGAATTAGATGAGATAATATGTGTAAAGAATTTGGCACACAGTCGGTACTCATGATCATCAGATAGACGAATCCCTGAGAGCCATGAAAAGGACAAATGGTTACAGAGGCACTCACCACTGGATGGTACTCACCCAGGCAAGCAGGTGCCTGCCATTTGGCATCACAAGCAAAGGGGCTTTGACCAGTAAAGCATTAGGGTAGCAAATGCCATGGAAATAATTGCATAGTTATGTAGAGAATTACCTCCGGCCCAGAGCACCTGCATACAACATCCAGGGGCACAAGTAAAGTTTAGAACAAAACAGCAACACCAGAGGTTCACAGTTTTCTTTTTCCTCGCAAAATAAGACTCCAGGAAGAACAAAAGAGATTTATAGATTAAAGCGCCACCTTCTCAGAAGAAGGGCAACATGCCAATCAATCTTGTCTTAGATGCATGTCCATACTTATGTGCCTGTGGCCTAAAATCAAATGGGTACAGCCCAACTCAAACTAGACATCTCTTGACACAGCTCTTACTGTCACACGTTGAGATGGAAAAGCTCAATATAATCACTCTCTCTTTGTAATTGTCCTATTTTATTTTCACCTGCAAAAGCTCCTTGGCAGATCCTCGCCTGTCCACATCCATCTCAAGACAGCGATTTAAAAAGTCACGGAACACAGCTGACAGTCTCTCGGGATTCTGGAGCTCTGGGGTTCCATTAGTGGCTATCAGATATAATGCCTACAGGAAAAAAAAGAAAAAGAAGAAAAAAAAAACCTGAAAAATCCATTCAGCACATACAAATTAGGATCGTGAGTTGGCACAGAAGGTACAAATCCAGTTTCTTCCGGTTTATACTCTGGGTCTTAAAAATTCCATTTTAGAGAATGACACTGACATATATTTCAAAGTTTCTATAACATTGAGAAATCGTTCCTCTTGGCAGCAACTGAGGTGACATTGAGAGGCCCCACCCCGAAAACCTTGGAAATAAAGTTATAAGATTGTCCTTTGAGAGTTAAGGCGGTACAAATCCATTTATAATGGATGTGTGATTAACCACCTAGGAAATTAAGCCTGTGCATCTGTGACTGTAAAGACGTGGGGAACACGTTGGCCTGCGTACAACCTCCAGAAGGCGCAGTGACAAAAGTGATTGTAATTTACTAAGTGTTTATCTTGTTTGAAGAATGTCAGTGAGCAGACCAGGGATGAACAGAGTACATTACAGAATTAGAGAAGCACAAAGAACCAGAGGATCATAGGGCCTGGATGAAAAGGAACCTGTGAGACCCAAAGAGTCAGGTGCTTTCGTCCTGTGGCAGATGTATCCCTGTAGAGGATAAGGAGATTGCTCATGAAGGTCTACCTGTGCTAAGAGAAAATATGAGACAAGTTGCCATTAGGAGTCCCGGAACCTGACGATTATGTATCCTTCTGTAAAAATAACCAGTTGCTAATAGATCTCTGAGATCTTTGTTCTGTAGGGCCACCCCTAAGAGACATGGACAGACTCACTGCGTGCTGATGGAATCAAGGGCCCTAGCCTCCAGGGAGAGAGCCAGACCCAGGTGCCTGATTAATTCACAAAGGTAAACCCATCTTTTGAAAGCTCAAGATGGCCAAAGCGAGGTGGCCATTCCTCATGCCTCCTCTAAACAAACAATTCTAGGGCACTATGTATCAGGTATTGTATTGGACACTGGTGACCCAAGGATGAGTAAGAGAATGCCCTGCTTTCAAAGATCACACAATTGAGTGAGGGAGCGAGATGTAAGTAGCTACAATACAGTGAGAAAGAAGCCAATGGAGGGATAGAGCAAGTGTTAAGTAAATACAAGGAGGAAGCAATTTACCCTAGAGCTCAGAGGAAGCTTCACAGAGGAGGTTGGCATCTGAACGGGGTTTTGAAGGATAAGTAATTTTCCCTACAGGTATTGCCACCAGGGTTCTGTCTGCCGAGGTGACCAACGCTGTAACTGTTATGAAGCCATGCTCCCTCCTGAACTTGCTTGGGCTTTGTAGCAAATTCTTACGCCCACTACCCCAACCCCCTTTTCCCTTTGCCCACCATGGCTCCTACTATTATTATTATAAGTATTTCTATCAAAGTCCTTTCTTGGACCAGTTTTCATCAGCTGGTAGGGTCATCGCTCCTCCTGCCTAGAAACTTAGGGTTAGGAGGGGCTGTTTCATCCAGTGGCTGTCAACCTCTAGGACACATCAGAGTCATCTAGAAGGCTTGTTAAAACAGATTCATAGGTCACCCCTAGAGTTTCTGAGTCAGTAAATCTGAAAAGGGGCCCAAAGAATTTGCATTCAAACAAGTTCCCTGTTAATGCTGAAGCTGCTGGTTCCAGGACCACACTTTGAGAACCGGTTTAATCCACCTGGGTAATTAAAGCAATGGGCAAAACTAGAGGTTCTGACTTGCTTGCACACAGGAATCACCTGGGGAGATTTAAAAGATCCACGTGCTCAGTTCTCACCCCCAAACCAATGAAGTGAAAGTCTTCGGGGATGGAAGGCAGGCCTCGGTGATTTTTAAGCTCTCCAGGAGATTCCAATTTACAGCCAACATTGAGAACCACTAGCCCAGGACCTGGAGCCCATTTAACCCAGAATCTCTGCATTGTAAGCTCACCAGACACGAGAGCCACAGAATCCCATAGAGCGAGATTCTCTAACGTGGTGATGGCTGAGAATTTCAGTGGCATATGTTTCTACAGAGTACGATGAAACTTTCTGGTTTCCCCCCCAGTACATTAAAAAAAAACCCACATGTAAATACAGCCCCCTCCAAACCAACACCTTCTTTCCCCCTACCCCTCACTCCTTTCTGATTTCCAGTTCCTTCGCTGACGCACAGCAAATGCACAGGGCAGCTATTGGGACTTCCATGCCAAAAATACAAGTCAGTTGCACATCTAGTCTTGACTAAAAAAAAAAAAAAGCCAGTATGAAAAAGGAATGCATTTATAAACTCTTTTTAGGAAATCATCAATCGGGCAAAGTCAAATGGTGCACAATCACAGCAGATATATTACATTAAGTTCAAACAGGGTGTTTTCGTTCTTGGACGATTAGCGCTCGAAGCACCTGTCCTCACAAACTGTCTTTGTTCCCTTATTAAAAGAAAATTGCTGGCCATGCACATTACATTTGCTGCCTCCTCTTAAAACTGTCTTATTTCCGCTGGCCACAATTCTGCCATGCTCACTGTCCTTTGCTTGCTTTGTTATCTGCTCTGTAGCCAGGCCTGGTCCTAAGCACGCCCGTGTGCGCCTGCGTGCACACACACGCGCACACACACACACACACACACACACCTCTCTTTTCTCCTTTTCCACGCTCCCTGGGTCTGCCTGCATGCTTACATGCTTTCATTTCCCCACCTTTCTTTCACCATTGTGGCTCAATACATTGTCCTCCACATAATCTCATTCCTCATGAGTACGCATAATCCTCCTCACCTCTCTTTAGCTCATGCCTCATTACCTCAGGAAATGCATGCCCCTCTTTCCATTCCACTTGGGAATTTACAAATGACCTTCATCATAGTTGTGCAGCCTGAGTAGGGCTGGTGATACACAGGAGCACGGGAGCAGAAAGCTCTGTGATCTGATGGGGAATCAGCTTAAGGAGCCAGTGCCATGAACCTCTACAGCACTTCACAGAGAATGGATGTCCTTTTCTGAATTTCTACCAAAAGAACGACTCTGGGGCACCTGGGTGGCTCAGATGGTTAAGCGTCTGCTTTCGGCTCAGGTCATGATCCCAGGGTCCTGGGATCGAGCCCCGCATCTTCTCCCTCTGCCTCTGCCTCTCTCTCTCTCTCTCTCTCTCTGATTCTCATGAATAAATAAATAAAACATTAAAAAAAAAAAAGAATGACTCTGGTGTTTGCTGGGGGGTGCGGGGGGCCTCAGTTGGTAGCCTAACAAGAGGACCCCCTCCTGGTTGATTGGTGCCGATTTGCTTCCAACGCCCTCGCCCCCCAGTCTAGGTGTCAAACCGCAAGACTGCCTTGTACTCAACACTAGATCATTCTGAAGAACTTTGTAAAACATCAAACAGTATTTCTGTTAACTGCTGGCTCGATGAAAAAATACACATACTCAGGAGAAGGTCGAAAGGAAAACACACCAATATGTTCACAGTGGTTCTCTCTGGCTGGAAAGATTACTCGTGACTTCAGTTTTCAAACATATTTTTCGATTTTCCAAATTTTCTACAACGGACACGATAGCTTTTATTATTTTTTTTTAAAAAAAACCCTCCAAAACATTACTGAAAAAATAAATGTAAGAAGTTGTGCCAGCCAAACTTACACAGAACTCCTCATCTATGTCTTTCTGTCTTCCAAGGATTAAACCTGCTTTTCATCAAGTCCTACCCCTTGAAGGAAACAAAAACCCAGATGATTTTTTTTTCCAGCTATTGTTTTCATTTTAATTGCAACAGTATTATTTCCAACTAATTTCCATTGCAAAAAATCCACACTTTCAGTTATATTAGGGGCTAAACTGGCCTTTGTGGGATGGCCTGGGAACGTATTCACCACGCATAATGCTGTTTCTATGGGAAACTGCACTCTGAGTTCCAAATGATTAACTTAAAAATGAACTTTTGGAACACGTCCTGTGTGTAAGCTGGGTACTATCTTTGTAAAAAGAAAATTGCTACCCTCTGCCCTGCTGTGGGGGACAAATACAGTTGCAGTCAATACAACAGTCACGGCAAAAAGGCTTTTACTAGCAAAGTCAAGTCGTACATGAGGAAAGATCGAGGGAAAAGAGATCGAGGCGTGAGGGATCACATTTGGGTTTTATCTGAGTTAGGGAAAAAAACTCAAAGAAAATGAGCTGTTAGAGCTCTTTGTTGGCACCCCCCACCTCCAGCCCCCGTGATCCATGCATGTGGTTTTCCTACTGGACTCCCCCAAAATTCCCCTCCAGGGCAGCCAAGAAGGAAAAGAGGCAGGGCAGGGAGATACACTGTAAAGACTCTGGGAGCCTGTGCCTACACTTGTTTCAATCAGAGACATTTTCCTTTTTTTCTCTATTTCTCTCTGCTTCTGAGCAAGGCTTCATTTGAACCAAGGGCTCGCTACAGTCCTCTGAAAACCAGCGGTCCACAGGACACAGTCATGATCCCTGGGCGTGGCATGCACAGTCCTCCATGATTGGGACCCTGGCCACGCCTGTCGTCCTCGGTGTGTGCCCTTCTTCCCCTGCCCCCACCTAGGGACATACATTGGCCAAAGCTCACATACTACAGCCAATTTCACTCTCCTATTAAATCTGCCTACCACGCTGGCCCCATTTCCCTGAAATACCTGGTGAACTTCTCTTTGCCCTTTAAGCTCTAGTTCACATGGCATTTCCTCTTTAAAGGCTTCTCCATCTCTCCCAGACACAGAGGGTGACCAACCACCTTGGTTTTCTGGGGACTGTTCCCGGCTTTAGTAGTGAAGCCAAGCAAACTGGGAGCGTGGGTTACCCTGCAGATCGAGTTAGCCGTTCCCTCCTTTGAGCCACCGTAACTGTTTAGTTCAGACATCCATTTTCACATTGTATTGTGAACACCTGTGGCTTGGTGCCAGGCTTGCCTTCCTGGACTGTGAAGGTAGGAATTGTGTCATGGGCATCTCTGGCCCCAAACTGGTGCCCAGTAAATGTTTTTGTTGCTGAATGAAATGAGAACCAAAATGTTGGAATCAATTTCACTGAGCTGGGACT